ACATTAATATTTCTGTCTGTATTTTGTGAAGGTAAACTATTTCCTCTTCCTCATTTGCAGTTGGAATAGAATAAATACATTTGCTAAATCGATGGGTGCATACTTTATATTTGTGGTAGTATTAATATGCTGAAGCTTGAGTCTAGGCTAGAGGCTGGGATCAGGGTTATTACTTGGTTAAGTCAGCAAAAGTCTACAGCCATTCTCTAAGATCCATCCCATTTTAGAGAGCAGCTTGGCAAGTTAATGGCTTCAGTCTGGAACATCTCTCCTCCATCCTTTAGGTCTTAAATGGGGGCATGGATCTCTATCTTCCTCCAACACACACGTTTGCTTCTGATCTATCTTGGCAGAACAAGAGGCACTTCAGTTTTTCATTTGGCTCTCCCTACCATGATAGCTTTCAATCTGCAGAACCAAGCACCGTTAACATCCTGTCCCAACTGTACTCTCCTGGTTCCTGCCGGTACATGCCAGCTTGTCTTAGTTAGGTTATGCTGGGATTTAATCCTAATGTTTGGTCTGGTCTGGCAGCCAAGAAGTGAAGTGAAGGGCAGTTCAGGGAGGAGGGAAGCAAGGGTTTTTCTCTAGCACAGCAGGCATGTTAGTTAAACCAGAGGGAGTCTATGGGTACCAACCAGATGACCTCATTCCATGTTCAGGATCCTACATCTCTCTACCATCATATTAACAGACTTGCCTAAATATTCAATGCCCAGATGTGGGTGGAGTGCTGTGCCTCTTAGCAATGGGCTCTTAAGCTGCAGTCCAGCTGGCTCTGTCCTGCTTCAGGTGCTAAAGGCCTCTTTAGAAGTCAGCACACTGCTTCTCACATTTAGCTACCAATAGCTTCACAGCCATTTCTCATTTCTTCAGGTCGCCAACACAAGTTAGACCAGCCAATTCTGTTGTCTGTGTAGGCACCACTCCTGCTCTATTTTCCAAATCCTTGTATCCTTACACCTACTACAGTTTTTGCCTCCACTGAGACGTTGTCCCAGGTCAACATAAGCTGCAGTCTTACGCCAGGGACTACAAATGCCCCATGCACCAAAACTGGTGTCTCAATTTTGTTACCCGAAGAGATGCCAAGACAGGATTACATGTGTAGGTCTTTTTTTGTGAGACAGGGAAGGAGCTGGGAAAGACTGGGTGGATTATCACTTGACAGTTCAAGTGTGACCCCAAGTGCAAGTGACAGGGAAGGTATGTCGGGTGGAGCATCCTAGACGACCATGTAGCTTAAGGAAGGCTTAGCAAAACAAAGGGTTTGAGATGGCTATTAGAGGAATTTTAGGTTTAGAAACAGGCTGGCTTGGCTGAATTTGTCATGATTAGCTACGGAGCTGGAGAAGCAAGGTCTTGATACAAACACAGTGTTGGATTTCAGAACACAGCTGTTGGTTGTCCCGAAGGTGTGGTCTCATAGTAGCTCCATCCTTCCAGTGAACAGCAGTTCAAACCAGGTAGTTTGGGTCCATAGTCTATACTCTGAATCACTGCCCTAGAAAGCATCTCAGAACTGCAGAGGTCTGTAGTAAATTGGCCTCTATCACCCTGAGAGTTTACATGGAGGCTTGGACAGTCTGTTAAGTCTTGAGGTTTCTCTAAGGATTTGATATTTCATTCTATTGTATGTGTGTGGGGGGGCACATTACAGAGTAACGTATATGGACAAATTACATATGCATTGGATATACACATGAATAATTTATAGAACCATATGTGGCTTTAGTTTCCTGAAGTATAAAAGGGGTTAGCAGATTGGAAAACAGATGCAAGACAAAGTATTTCCTGGACTGCTTATAGAGTAAGATGTGTCCCTTGCATGTACACTAAAATGGTCAGAAAATGGTGGCTAAGCATTCATACTTTCTAGGGTGGAAAAATTTGAAAATTAAAAAAGAATCCATAAAAATTCATTTTCCACTATATTCTTTGTAAAAATCTTACTGTAGTACAAGGCAATAAAAAACTGATTTAATTTTTTTAAATCATTTTCTTACAAGTGTTAGAAATATTTTTTTTTGCAGAGATTCTCTTTATATTTAGGTTGTGTTAAGTATGTGTTTACAGCCTAACAGAGGACTTTCGTGTTTTGAAATAGGGTCTTTAGCCTTGAACTCCTGATCCTGTTTCTATCTCCCAAGTGCTGGGTTTATAGGCATGCACCAGATTGAATGACGACCTCAGTAAATATAAACTCTTTAATGGTCAGTGTAAGCATCCAACAACCAACACACAAATGGAATTCTATGGAATACAATATTTCTTTATTGTAAAAAGGGTTCGTTTACTTATGGAAACCAAGGTACAGAAATGTTTGATTTCATTGCTCCACAGGAGAACAAATATAAGCTGAAATATTAAATCAGATAATTAAGCACCTGCATTTATTAACAATATAATCCTACAGTTGAAATATAATCTTACAACAGGATATTCAAAAGCAGACATGAAAAGATAATTTCAAGAGCCCTGATATGTCTGAAGGCAGATACTATTGTGTATTATGTGTAACACAGGGAAAACTAACATTAAAAATAGAAAGGTAGAAAATTAAAAGTTGAAAATCTAAAATAATGTAGAATTCCAAATTCATAGCCTCCAGAAAAATCATAGTATTACTTATAACTCGCCAAGAGGACACACACACATGCAAATGGAGTTTCTCAATTCAGACTCTTTCACTTTGTACTAAGGACACAGACTGGCTTTCAGAATTAGATATTGGGAGGCAGTTATGATTCCTCAGTTCTTTAGTTCAGAATTTGAACAAGTGGTTCTTAAGGTTTATAATACAAGATTGAAAAAAAATTAGGATCAGTGGAAGAGTTTGATTTGCAAATAACTAGCTGTTACACATCAGGGGTTTCTGTAAAGTATGGAATTTCACACTTCACTTAAAGTTACCCTATACCCCTGCCCCCTTTCTTAACAAAGGACTTATGCTGCCTTACTATATGAACAAATGTTATACAGGATGCCTATTCTAAGAAAAAACATTCTAAAGAAGAAATGTGGAGGCTCAATGTGTTGATTACTGGTAGAGTATGTACTTAGAACATATGAAGTTAGGATGAATGCTCAACATGAATTTCAAATTTGGCTCAAGTATTTTGACAAATCAATGAGACACAATTCTATCAAAGAGTAGTTTTCAAAAACTTTTCTTATAATCACATTCAAAAAATCTTAAATGGGACTTTAAAATGTCCCTAATAGTAGCATTCAGAAAATAAAGCTATTTTAAAAAATTGATATTTAAGCTATGTGCTTATACGCCGAAGTTTAAAGTTCAAAAGCTACATGGTGAAGGAGATGACACCAGGGCTCCTGTAGATGGCTTTACATCAAAGGCTTCTAATACATGGACTGGTTTTCCCAATGGGAGAGCAGTTTCTGTTTGGTGACCAGGAAAATCCACAGAGAAATGAAAGGCACCTTGACATAGCAACCCAGTTGACTCATGTAAAGGATAGGCCTAATATCTGAGCATCAAGATTCAGGAAGAAAGCTTGAGATCTCACAGACTTTAACAGGATTACAGCCCACGGTATCGCAGGGATTTACCAGAACACTTTACTCATCCTAAAGGGTGTCCTCCAACTACAGGAAATTGTTTGCTTACATGTGCATATGCAAGGCATTCTGGAAATTAAAAATTAGGAAGTGTTAAAAACACCAGGCATCCACTTTTCAGTATTATGTTCACAAAAGTCTATGAATGGCTCAAATCAGCAACATTCAGTCACCTGTACTGACTGAAAAAAGATAAAACAAAACATCAATCTCCCTCCCTCAACTGGTTCAAAAATATATGGAAATGGTCCAGGCAGGCAAGGGATCAAGAATGGCACCTGCTATCTGTTTCTTTTGCTCTCTGCACTGAGAATGTAAGGCTAAAAAATATCTAGAAAGGGCATCTAGTCTGCATATACATCCTCATCCCATTATCAAGATCTCCATTTAGATCTCTGGTCTAGCTGCTTTTATCTTAAATCTTAGCACCTACAGTCTAGAACTAATTCTTTTTATCTTATCAATGAAAATGATGAATCACCACTTTCCTTCCTGTAGATAATTTTACATACTTGGAAAGCATTAAGCAACTACATTTCTTTCATTAATGAGATATAACCACAATGTATTTATTGATCTACAAACAGCTTTATTAAGTTTTACACATAACACCCTTCCCCGGGCATCTCTTATCGCTTTCAAAGTCTTCCAAATCTCAGCACTTTAACACAACCTTCACAAATACCCAGGATTTAATTTATTAAATTTGTTCCAACACTACCAGTTATTTGAGTAACACTATACCCCGAAATCAACTATTTAAAACCACCCCAAGTGCAAGACTAGGATGGCCAACTTATCAATACTCTGTGTGGTGGTGTGAACAAGAACAGCCCCCACAGGCTCATAGATTTAAATATTTGGTTCCCAGTAGATGGGCTCTTTAGGAAGGATTAAGAGGCATGGCCTCATTGAAGGAAATGCGTCACTGGGGGTAGGCTCTGGGGCTTCAAAAGCTCAGCCAGGCCTAGTCTAGCTTATTATCATAGCCTGCAACTTGTGATTCAGATGTGAGCTCTCAGCTACGTCTCCAGCACTATGCCTGCCTGCCTGCAGCCATGCTCCTGCCATGCTGATTGTGAATTAACCACCCCCTCAAATAGCAAGCAAGCCTCCAAACAAATGCTTCCTTTTGCAATTTGCTTTAGTCATTATTTAGTCACTCTTTATATCAACAGAACAACAACTGAAATACCTTGTTCCAAACAAACACAGGAACAAAAAAATTGAATTACGAAGGGCTAAGGATATAGGTCACACATAAGTCTAGGTACTTGCCTGGCATGCACCACATACTTGGGTCCAACCTTTCAACCCAGGACTGCAAAAACAATAGTGATGTTCATATATATATATATATATATATATATATATATATATATATATATATATATATATGTTTTGCTTTGTTTTTTGTTTTTGTTTTTCCAGACAGGGTTTCTCTGTGTAGCCCTGGCTGTCCTGGAACCTGCTCTGTAGACCAGGCTGGCCTTGAACTCACTGAAATCTGCCTGCCTCTGCCTCCCAAGCGCTGGGATCAAAGGTGTGCACTACCACTGACTGGTGATGTCCATATTTTTGAGGCAACAAATTTTGTGGTTTACATTCTAGTGGAAAAAGACAATACACTGGTAAATAAATATCAGACTCCAGAGCTGTGGTAAGCAAAGAAGTGATGGGGTATGGCAGTCATATGTGGGGATGCAGCACTTGTTTGGAAGCTCCCTTCAAAGGCACAAATGGAATCTTCCAAGAAATTTTTAACTAAAGGTTTAATTAAAAACAACAACAACAACAACATTACTTTGTGTGTCTGACCTTCCATCAGTTGGGAATCTAGGGCTGGAGCTCAGTCTTGACTGTCTGCATCTTTACCCTCGACTGTCTCCCTGGCTCCATATATAATACCTATTGAGTTTCTTGCTCTTCTTCTGAATACTAATTGTTTTTCATAAGTGCCTTTACTAATGTTTGTGTTTAAGATATGCCTTCTAATTTAAGCAAACATTTCTTAGTAATATTAGCTAATATTAAAACTTTCAGTACTTCTGCCCAATAACATCAAATAATGGTCAAAAAATAACTATACCTGAAATAAAATTGTCTCACTGGATAGGTCCTAATGAGTTTTCCAGACAGATCCCGATACTTCATAGATAAAACTAGTGAAAAGAAATTGCCAGAGTGTGATCTACCCAGAAGAGGAGGCTATAGCAGGATGGATCATGGGCTGATAACCATAGCAGTGAAAGGGCTCTGCAGAGACAGAAAGGTCATGCACTTTCAGCAAGCGACCAACCAGCAAGGCTGGGAAAGCCTTCCCCAGCACACTAGCTCTTTGAGACATGCTGCCACCATCTGGGCAGTAGGCAATTTTTAAGTCAGGGATTTTAGTTATTATCAATTAACAATGACAGACTCAAAAAACATCACTTGGTGAACAAAGCAATTTTGAAAAGTCTCTGAGCATGAGGAGTGAACAATGATTTTGGTGAGGCATGTTTAGAACTCTGCCTTTACTGGTTCCTTATCTGTAAGATCAGTATAAGAACACAACCTTTGATGAGTGACTTAGTCTCAGGATTAGCGACAGTATTTGAGAAACACTGACCTGCGTACTTGGTACACAGAAAGTACTCAATTGATGTTTAAAAATTATTATTCTTCAGTATGCCCTTCAAAACATAATGAACACAATTAATTCTTAAAGTTACAAATATGCTTACTAACAAATCCATTTGCATTGTGCTTTGATGAAAAGCAAAGGAAAGAAAATAAAACGTTATGAAATAAAGTCTCACAGATAAAAAACAATTCCATTAAAAGAAGTGGAATATGTAAAGAGGTACTGTAGGGAAATAAGCCTAAGTGCAGGTGAGAGACCTTTCAGCACCTTTTAATCAGAGCAAATAATTACATTACTACAGTAGACTCTTATTCAGGGCACACTCCTTTCACATGGCTATAGAGCGAGATTTAACTTTATACTTACAAAGGTAAAAAGACTAAAAACCCAACAAATGATGAGTCGGCTAGGCACTACCTTCTCAAGAGAAAAACAGAACAACAAACCTCCAGTTTTTAAGGCTTCCTGTAACAGCAAACATTGTGCAGCCCTGCCTTCAATTCAGAGTTCTCTTCATGGGTGTGTTGTTTTAATCTTGAACACACAGCTCTTCCTAGTCTGGTCACCTATAGGAACTACCCTACCTCCTCTCAAACTCACTGTGTGCTGAGGAAGATACTGAACTCCTCACCTTCCAGTCTTCACCTCTCAAGTCTTGGGGGGGGGGGTCACAGGTGTAAACTATCACACTGGCTAAAGTTTACTTCTTAAAAGCAAAGCAGAACTTACTACTTGTTATCTAGAAATGATTTTCTGAATGACTTTTGGGAGAGAATCAAAACCAAGTTAAGAGGACAACTGTGTTGGTGCATGCCTACAATCCCATCACTTGGGAGGCTGGGCCAGAGGATCTAGGTGTTCAAGGTGAGCCTGGGATAGATAGCAAGCCTGTCTCAAAAACCAAACCAAACCAAACCAAACCAAAAAACCACTACCACCCCCTCCCTCTCAAAAAGGATAAGGAGTCAGAGGACTGGTCAAACACAGACTACTTTACTGATCTGTAGGGGCCCAAAGGAACTGGAGGTCAACTAGGATTCCTTCTAGACATACAGGAGGAAAAGGCTCATAATGATGAGTTCCATCTCACCATTGAACAGTCCATGGTTTGGGAGCCTATCTTACTTATCATCTTTGGTTAAGGTAATGCCGACCACAGCAAGGCTGTACTCTGTGGCACCCTCTCTGCTGTTCTTGGGTTTGCACAAGCCTGCCTAATACACCAGAAGATAGATCTGTAAAATTAGAAGTGAAGATAAGGTCTCCAATAGATAACAGCCGAAGAGGCTTGCTTCTTTCTTTCCTTTGTATGTGTGTGTACTATGCATGTATATGCCAGGGAACAATCTCCTCAGTCCTCAGGGGCTTCCTTTTCATCCCCAAGATTCCTGGGGAACCTGGGACCTTGAGATAAAGCAGAGCAACACAGGGAGGCAGTACTTGTGAGAAACCATCTATTCCACTGAAAATTTCATTGATATGAGCCGGTTATGAGTCTGCTTTTTCTGGCTAGTTAGGCTTCAGAACAGGTCTAAGCCATCCTTCAGGTTTTCACACAAGAATAAGAAAACAACTGCTGCCAATACAATATGCAAACATTAGCATATACCCGAGGAGCAGTGTTTCAGATCGTTAGATTATCTGCCAAAGTCTGCTTCTTGGTAAATAATGGTTACTGTTGTTATACTTTAACTAGTCATACATGTCTCGGCTTGCTCCTCAAAGAGAACACTCGGTCTCTCAGGAATAAAAACTTGCTTTATTTGGCACACAACAGTGAGGAGGTCTTGCAACATTTGCCAGAGGCAGTCAAACAGAGCAAGTAGTTCAGGCAAGCAATCACAAAATTTGAGCACCAACCAAACCAGAGCTAATCTTCCAGTTCCTGTAGATTAGGAGAGCTATTTGACGCACCCCTTTCTGCTTGTTGGCTTTCGCTGCCCTTTATTTATGTATTGGAAGAACAAGTACGTCTGTGGAATCTCTATGCCTTGACAGTTTAATTATTGATAGTTTACTTTGGGCAAGTATCGACCATTCCTTTGTGAAATAAGCTAGGCTCTTAGATTAAAAAACAACAAAACTCCTTTCCCACAGCGTGGCAGCACTTCCTCCTGGTAACAAGGTTCACTGGACACATCTCGGGCCGGCTGCTGCTTTGTCTGAATATTTAACTATTGTTCAACCATAATGCACGGGTGAGATGTGAATTAGGGAACAAGCCAGGTCCTTCGATGGCCGCGAGAAGTCTGCGGGGGTCCACCTCATTTCTTGCTGCAGCTCTTCGGGCTGAGTGTCCCCAGTCCGAACACCTCACCGGTTCGGCCCACTCCCCGCCGCCTCGCCTTCCCCAGCGTCCCACTCAGGACGCCAGGTCACGGTCCCCCACCCGGCAGCGCGCACCAACACGCGCGCAGCCTCACCTGCCGCTGCCCGGGAAGCTCCGCCCCGCGCCGCCCCGCCCTCCCGCTCCAGCAATGGCGCCGCCGGAAGCCTGCCCGCGACTTCCGCACTCCCGCCCCGCCCCTCCCCGCCTGTGGGCGGGACCCGAGCGGAGCGGCTTCCGCCTTCCTCCTTCCTGCCTGGCGGTGAGTGGAAATGGGAGCGGGAGTCCCTGGGGTGTGTGCGTTGTTCCCAGCGGAGGCCTTGGATGGGCGTGTGGCCGGGCCACCCCGGCTTCCCGAGCTCCAGGTCGGCGGGTCCTGCCCGGCTTGCCTCGGCGGGACGACGCCCTGCGCCTGTGAGGCCGAGGGATGGCGGGGGACATGGCCCGGGGCAAGGGGAAATCCTAAGGAGGGAAAGTTAGGAGAGAGGCTGTAGGTATAGTGCCGCCAGGGTCCCCCGGGCTTTTCGAGGTGGAGGAGTGGGCCCCGAAAGTGAGGCGAGGATGTTGTGGTCCGAGACTGAGGTGCCCGCAAGATCTGTGGCCTGTGGGCGGTAACTTTGCCACAAACCATGCCCATCAGTCGCGCTGTTCTGTTTGCAAAGTTACTTGCTTTGCGCTGAAAAAATTGTGTTAGGTCGCTACTGGGTTGGAGAAAGATCGATCCTTCCTGGACCTTCCTGCAACCTGGTTACAACTGGACGAGGAGGATGTTACCAAACGGGTCAGGATGGTTAACGTCTCAAGCCAGTTTAACGTGTTGAAAATAGAGGCATTATTTCTAATACAGATAGGAAGAGAGCTTGGGAATGTGGAAGTTAAAAGCAGTGGGTACCATTATTTTGGTAGCCTTTATTTTCCTATAAGGTACACTTACTGTACTAGGGACCCCAAAACCTTTAAAGAGCAAGGCAGTGTTTGACTTTCTAATGATGTACACAATCAAACAAATAACTGAGTACTCTTAAGTACGAACCGTTTAGGCTCTGGACTGGGGGATGTTGGTCGGCAGTGGAGCACCTGGCTGGCATGCTCTAGGCCTTGGGTTGGATCCCCAGCAACATGGACAAAGGTTCAAGCTCTCTATGGGTATGGCTCCTTTAACATGTCAGTGAACAAGCTTGTCTTTTTATAAGTCAGTGAAAGTAGTTTTTTAAATTTTTATTCAAATTAAAAATAGAGTAATCAAATAAGCTTCTAAAATACTTGGTTTCTAGCAATTAGTACTTTATTTCAGGGTATTCACAATTGTAAATTCAGAAGGGATAGGTGTTAAAGGACTATCGTATCACAGAAAGACGTTTTTACTTGTCATTTGTTTTATGAGAATTTAGATTTTTTTCCCATTCATAATCTTACAGTAGTTATGACTTAATTTTCTTCTTTTTCAGCTCATCCACTGTGTAGAGTTAAAAACCTCTCCAAAGTATATGGTCAAAAGCAACAGTCATCTGAATTGTGACTGGCTCACTGATAGTCCGAGGAAAAATTAGATATCACTACTCCAGCATAAGGTAGATGTTTTAAAAAATCCTAGCTTGAGATTTTATGTATATATACAGCTGTATATATACATAAACATCCCCTTTCCATGTATTGTAATTCAGTCTGTAATTGAATACAAGTTGATAGAAACAAGAAGACAGTTTGCCACTGGGGCAAAATAGGAAATGCCTCTCAAGTCCTCACTGTCTCTTTTACCAGATGATCCTCTCTTACCAACTGACAAAAAACCAAAAAACTCAAATCATAACACTTATTGTGGATACATTTCTTACTGTGTTTTTGTAGGTAGGGGCTGTCAAAACTGAAAGCCTGTAACCTAGTAATCATTTTTTGCTAGACATATTAATGTGGATTTAGCATCATGGTTTCCTTACCTATGTTTTAGAAATAGCCATCTACTTCCCCTTTCCCTGAGAGAATTTCTTATGGTCTGGCTTGAGAAATCAGACATGAGTTTGATTTGTACTTTTGTTAATTAGTACTTAGCCGTACTAATGGTATGTCAACAAATGATGGGATTCGGCTCCTTCCTGAAATGAGCATATGAAACTCCAGATCCTTGCATGTCTGCTCCTTCTTAGTTTGTCTTGAGTATCCTAAGAGGCATGGAGAGCGTCCATAGGACGCAGTCCAAATGGGCTTTACCTTCTGTGAATTGGTCTTCACTGTCTACCAATTGACTATTTGTGTTGCTCTATTTGAACTATTTTTTTCTAGATGGAGATATTAGTCTATTAAAATACTAATATTTAAAAACAACCGAGTGATAATGGGATTCTGATTTAATTGGATGTGTTCTAACTTTCCAGATTGGATTAACCATATAGTTTTCTGTTTTTGTTTTTCCTTCCCTTCATTCTCCAAGCCCCAGTTTCCTGCTTGCTGGAAGATGCTTGATATAAAGGCCTGGGCTGAGTATGTTGTGGAGTGGGCTGCAAAGGACCCATATGGCTTCCTTACAACCGTCATCTTGGCCCTTACGCCGCTCTTTCTAGCTAGTGCTGTACTGTCCTGGAAACTGGCCAAGATGATTGAAGCCAGAGAGAAGGAGCAAAAGAAGAAACAAAAACGTCAAGAAAACATTGCAAAAGCTAAACGACTAAAAAAGGACTGAAGGTGAACAGACTCTGCAGCTGGACAAAACCGTCTGGGAAATTCTGCAGCTCTGGAAGGACTCACCAAGGTTCCAGTCGATTTCGTGATAGTACTATACAGTAAATTAAATATGACCGTATAGAAGAGTCATGTTCTGACCTCAATACTGTAGTAACTTTTAGTTTTGGAAATAGAAGCTTGCTGGAACCCACTGACAGGTATTTAAGTTAGCATTTACCATACAGGTGGAGCATACCTAATGTGAAAATTCAAAACTCAAAGCACTGTAAAATCTAACACCTGTGTTCAGACACCATGCCAAGAGTGGAAAATTCAACACCCTATTTTCTGATGGGTTGCAGTCAAAATACAGGTGCGCTCAAAATCCATAAAATTATCATCAAACCAGGAGAAATATAAATTAGCCTTGTGTTTGGATTTGGATCCCATCCTTAAGGTATTATGAAATACTCTAAAATCTGAAAAATACAAATAAAATGTTACTGGTCCCAAGCATTTTTATCTGCTTAACCTATAGTGAAAATTCTTTAAACTCACAGTCATTTGCCATTTTGGAGTTTAATGTACTCAGGTAAAAAATACCATGTAGAGAAAAATGGTTTTAGACTATGAATCCTGTTTAAATGGTAGTTTAAAACGGGGTTCAGCTCTGGACAGAGGATATTAGGAATGTAAAAGAATTAACTTCTGAGGTGAAAAGTTTACTTTGGCTTAAAAGAGATAAAGCGTATTAATCACTATTTTAAAATCATTGCTTATTTTTTTGAATGGAAGCATTACTGACTTTCTCAAAGGAAAATTTTATTAATGATTATGGCTATTTGCATTCTTAAGACTTTAGCCATGAACACAGCTAGCGATTATTAAGACATTTCTTCTTTTTATATAGGTTTCTCATTGTCTTGACCATGGATAGAATTTTTGTACACTGTCATTTTCTTAAATGAGTTTGCTAAGAAGAAGAACATGACTTAAAGCCAACAGTGAAGACGCCATGTGCTTTTGAAACCTTGGGTTCCGTGTTTTCTTACAATCACTAGGGCTGTGAAATAGTTCATGTCATCATATAATCTGCTGATTGCATAGACACTGCTTTTGTTTTTATTCTGTCTGTAACTAATATGGCAGTGATGTCCTGTTACTTTTTACTCATACAGGATCAAAGTGAAAATGAAAATTTCAAATTTATGACGTCATACTTTACTAAGCCAATAAAGGCTTAAATTTGGGGAATTTTTCATGGGTATAACAGTGATGGCAGGAACGGCACTAAAATGGCAAGAGTACAAAGCCAGGGATCTTTTGGTGGCAAAACAGACTTAGAGATATTAAACATGGCTTTTCTACATGCATGGTCCAGTAACTTTATTCACTGCAGTATTTAACTGCTTATTAATGTTTTCTGTACCTCTGATAATGAATTTTAAGTTACGGTAATTGTCAAATAGTCTTACTAAAAATGATTCTAAATGTCAAAATAAATTTGATACGTTTTTATAAAGAAGTCTTGAGTTTATGTCTTTTTTGAGGGAGGAGTAATCATTTAAGTTACCTATGTCATGCAGGTTAAGGCTTTAAAAGATTGTGAATTTCGCTGGGCAGTGGTGGTGCACACCTTTAGTCCCAGCACTTGGGAGGCAGAGCCAGGCGAATCTCTGAGTTTGAGGCCAGCCTGGGCTACAGAGAGAGTTCCAGGAAAGGTGGAAAGGCACAAATCTACACAGAGAAACCCTGCCTCTAAAAACCAAAAAAAAAAAAAAAAAAAAAGATTGTGAATTTCAGTCTTAGCTAAATGTACTAGAAATAGGAGAGTGTTTCAGAAGAATCCAGGGATTCCTGAGCCTGATGGACTAGCTGTTTGACAGTAACTGTGTACACATGAGATCAACAAACATTTAAAATAATGGCAGGGCATGCTGTGTGCAGTGTAAAGCAGAGAATACTGTCAAGTTTGGAATTCTTCAGAAAATTCCATCTTTTCTCATTGAGAAACAATATTCCTGTTGGAAGAATCTTACTTGTTAAATGCTTGCTTGTCACTTCTGAATTTCTGAAAACTAAATGCAGCCATTACCCCTTTGTAGAAGGCTAGAAACAAGCTGTCCTAGCATTTTGCCAAAATAATAGAGGAAATTTGATTCCCCTTCAGAATGATTGCCTTCAATGTTTGCATCTGGATATAGGATCACTCTGGTCTTTTCTTAATTGGAGTAAATTATTTACGGCCAAGCTCTGCATTTTCAAACACAATAACAGATGGTCAGATATCAAAGTTTTGGAAATGCAAATGGAATATGGACAAGTTTCCTTCATAATTTCTTGATTTCCACAGCCTCTCCATGTCTTTTTTCAAAGAATAGAAACAGTTTGAAAAAGTCTGGCTTAAATAAACTCAGGTTACATTTTAAGTAATGTAGTTAATGAAATAGCATTTAAAAAGATCAATACAGTGGTAATTCGTTCAAGGTTAATTAAGAAATAAATGAGCACTTTCTATGTTGATTAAAAAATGGTAATGATTATTTCCTTAATTTTTTATTTTTTGAGATTATAATTACATCATTTTCCCCCTCCCTTTCCTCCTTTTAAACCGTCCCATGCCCCCCGAACCCCAACTCCTGCCTTCTTTTAAATTCATGGCCTCTTTTTCTTTGTTACATATATACATATGTGTGTATATATGTGTATGTATTCCTAAATACAACATGCTCAGCCAATATAGTTACTTGTGTGCAAATACAGGCATAGGTAGGTTATATGATTAAACCCTGGAATCAGAAACATATTTTTGTGCTTTCAAAGTTTGCACAGTGTTAAGCCCATCATTGCAGAAATATACTACATACATTTTAGCGGAGGCATAGAAAACTGCAAGAATTTAGCTCTTAAGGTATACCTTATACTTAAGGTATACACAATGTTCTTTTATTAATGCAAACACTTTCACTCTTGAGACTAAAAACTTAAAATAGGTTTAATTCTGTCTTGAAAGACATAAACTTTGAAATGTTCAAATACAGCTAATTAAAAAATGAAATATGGCAGACAAGCTATTTAATATTTAAATTCTACTTTAAATGCTTCACAGCTAGGTGGGTTTTAAAAAGTAGAAAGGCAGTTGAGGCCTGGCATGCCAGCAGAGGCAGGTGTGTATCTGAATTTGAGGCCAGTGTGGTGTAATACAGTGAGACTGTCTCTAAAACAGAACCCAAAGGCACATGATAATCAGGCCAAAATTATATCTTCTTTATTATGTAGAAGATTCAAATGACTATTCCTGCATCATTTACCAGCAAACCTAGTACTTTTTATTAAAAAAAATCATATGTTCCATCCAAGTTTTCCTTGTGAAATACAAACGCCCTCCCCCATCCCCCTTATAAGCAGCTGTGGAAGCCCACTGTTGTCCTCACAGTATCTATCTGTGGTGCTCCCTAACTGAGCCTGAGGACCTTATGTACTGAGTGTTCACAGTGGTGCTCCCTAACTGAGCCTGAGGACCTTATGTACTGAGTGTTCACAGTGGCGTGACACTTGCCAGCACGGTAATCCAAGGAGGGGAAGGGTGAGAAAATCAAGTATAGGATTCAAATCTGAATATATTTAAGCTTCTATATTTACAGCATCACATTATACATAATAAATACCACAAGCTTTATGGGACACAGGGTATACAGGAAATGCAAAGTGATCAACTTTTAACCTTTATTTGTTAAAAGAGCCACATCCATATAGATGAAATGACTTTACCATAGTGCATCATTGATTCTGTCTTTTGTCATCTTCTGGCATCCAGGACCCTGGCTGAAAAGTCTGACCAGTGCTGGTGGGAGCCCCTGAGGGTTCTTCCTGTCCAAAGTATGGGGCAGCAGCGTGGCCTTTAATCTGAGTT